TGATTGATTTGATTGAGGGATCGTTGAAAAAATGCTTATTTAAACACAAGGCAATTTAGAAAATTAAAATGTATATGCATATACATATGTATACAACCAAAGAAATAAAGATGAACTGAATATAGTAAAAAAGAAATGTCTAAAAGGAGCAAAAAGCAGGAAACATCTATTTAATCCCAGAATTGCTGTTCATTTACTGTTCCATCTATTTATTATATATATTAATATTTATTATTTATATATAATTAATTTAGATATCTATCGATTAATCGATCGAACAGTAAATTAACAGCAATAATTATATGTTAGATAGAGAGATAGATGATAGATAATTACAAAAAACATGGAAATAGTTAAACAAATATTCTTTCAGTAATTTTCATCACTGTAAGTTTAATAATGACAATAATTACAACAATAAAACAGCTATAACCCAAACATAGATAGTAACAACTGCTATATAGGAGTAGAAAAACATGAATAATGTTCTTATCTGCATAAAAGAATAGTAAGGAATCCTCCAACCTACTGGTGTGAAAATAAATAAACCCAGACATAAATAGACGTCTTCCTGATCGAAAAACACAACAAAAATATGGTGATTTATGTTTTTCACTGCTAAAAAAAAAAAAAAAAGACATCAGAAATCTTTGTCATGTTGAAATCAAACACTCAACACTTTTTATGGTTTTACTTTTTTGTTTACGTATTATTTTCCTTTTTATTTTATAACTTTGCACCAAGTTCTGTTGCTCCTTCACATAAAACTGCAAAAAGCTTCCATATAACATCTTAAAATCTGATGCTGTGATTTAAGGCGGGGCCGTCCCAACTTCCTGTTTAGTGCTTGAAGCGTCACCTGGTGGTGCAATGAAATGGGCCTTAATTGATCTAAATTCAGCCTTTTTCTGTCATGTTATCAACATGCATAAACATTTCAAGTGATGCAAACATTTTTTCAAGAAAATGGTTCCAGCAGCTGCTCTGTTTTCAGGCAGAGTTATGATGATTCTGTGAATGGGACAGTGCTTTATTGATCAGCCCCAATGGCTCTCCTCCTGTCAGCTTCTCTGCTCCATACAGTATTCAATCAATATTAGGGCAGAAAATGATATTACTGCTTTCCATCATGCTCTAATGAGCTTATAGAGGCTCTTAGTACTGACAGATGTGCATCTGTTAAATGGGGGTGGCGTCATTTAGAGGAGTTCCTGAAATCTTGTTGGGAGGAGGCTGCTTCATGTTCAGAGAAAGAGAAGCTCGTTTTCTGTGTTTGGAACATTAAGATGTTTCCGATGACCCTCAGATATCCAGACATGCATCATGGTAGAGGTCGTCCTTGTCACTGTGGGAATAATAACCGTCAGACTGGACAGAGCTGTTCTGTCCCAGGCTGGGATTGACTGAGGTGGCAGACTGCTGCCCAGCAGTCAGCACATTCTTACACACATCAACTGTATCCATTAACACACAGCGTCCCAACCTGCTTTGTCTTCTATGCAGACGGCTTTTGTTTTCACCCATAGAGAGGAGGCTGCGACACGTCAGCCGCTAATTATTCAGCGTTTTCTTTCCATCTTCTGACTGTGAAGCGACGCTGTCAGTGTTCTAAAGGGGCTGATGTGGAGATGGATTAACACGTCACATGAAACTACCGCTGTAATCTGATTTATTTTAAAAGGCAACTAAAAAGCTCATAAATGAGGAGACTTGGTCTTTGTTTTACTGTTTGGGTTTCACTGCGCCCTCATGTCGGTGTTTGCAGCAAAACAAGAAGGTGTTTTCACCAAATAAAAACTAACTCTACACTGAACATCTATGCTTAACATGAGCTTCAGCTCGTCGTATATTAACCCCTAGAACCCTACGGACCCACCGGCGGGTCCAGCTGCTACGTGACCTCGTAATTTTAACAAACCCCCAGTATTGATGTAAAAAACACATTTGCCACAGTTTGGTGACATTTTTGGATAAATGTGCCAAAATGGCCCCTCCGCCTAAGAAATTTCTCACTAATACCATTCTAAAATAAATATGATTCATCTGATTGAGTCCAAATTTGGTATATTTTTACACAACATTTAGATTTAAAAGTCTGTACTACTTTTTTGTGCTATAAATAATATTTTGGTAGTGTTTTGCAATGTTTATTTCAAAGAAAATTTTGGCGAGGTTCAAAAAATGCAAAATATTTTGTATTTTGTCCCTAATATTTCAGGCAGGGTCAAAGCTACAATGGTGCTGACACCAGAAAACCATTCTATGACATCTTACCTTTACAGACGTACCAAAAGTTTCTTCTTAAATCTAATACCTGTGAGGCTATAAGTGATTTACTTTTGTGTGTTTTTGTCAGGCAGAAATTTATTTATACGCCCTTAGGGTGTAAGATTTTAAACACATCAGGACATAGAAGGTTCACTTGCTTCTCTTGAGTTAATGATTATGATCTTTAAGAGCTTCCATAACTGCAGATGTTCTTTCATTGAGCCGATTTGGAGCCTTTTGTATCTTGAAACAAAAATAAGAAGTAAAGAGATCAGCACTCACCTCAGAGGGCTAATTCTGCCCTAATTATACCATTTAAACCAGGCTTACACTGTGAAATCTTTTTTTTTGCCCTTTTCGGGCCAACTTTCCAGTCGAGCGAGAATTTTTTCGATGGTGTCATGCCTCGTATAGTGTATAGGGGGTAAGGAGGAGCGACCAGCCTTAAATCAAACATGTTTGAAATTCAGTCGACCGTCGTGGGCAAATCTCTCAGTGGCCAAACAAGGATTCTTCTTCTTCTTCCTCTGAGATGTAAACACAGCAGCATGGTGAGGGTGCAATGAGTGAAATGGAGTTATTTCTGTAAAACTGTCAGACGTTTGCTCAGGCATGTCTTTGTCCAAATACGTCGTCGTCTTTTCTTTTTAGGGCTTTCAGTACAAAATTGCTCAAATTTCCAAAGCAGCGCGTTTCACTCTAGTGAGCTTCATATTCCTCTTCTACTTGTTTGGCTACCAGATAGACGAGTCAGAGTAGCGTTACTCACTGCGGAGCTGAGTCCGCCGTGGTTTTTAGACGTACAGTGTGAGCACATAGATCGCATCAGAGCGTCGTGCTGAACATGCATTGTGAGCTTTGAACTCACAATGTACAGTGTGAGCTGTAGCTGCGTGCAACGATTGAAAAAAATCGCACATTGTATGCCAGGCTATAAAGGCCATTGATCTGAGCTGAACCGACCCTGGTTTATTTTGTACTTACTGTCTCTGGCTGCAGAACGACTCTGACAATGTCAAGGAGGAGTCCCTTTTTTTTTAAGAATTAATGAACTTTCTATGGGTGGAACAGATTAGATTAAACAAGAGTAATATTCCTTAAAAATTATGCTTACACTTCCAAGAGGGAGCTCTAATGATTGACAAACGGTATCAATAAGAGTTGATCTAGATGTTATGTTTCTTCCTCAAACACCAGTCATCAAATGCAGGCGGATTCTGCCGCTTAAGCCACAGTTGAAGGTTGTTTGCCTCAAGTGAAAGGAAAATTAGAGGTGGCTTGTAAAAGGAATCAAAAATCTCTGAATAACTTTAGTTGAAAAAGGTACAAATGCAGCAAATAGACCTGATTGACTCGTTCTATAATGTTAAGAAAAACAAGATTTTAATAACAAATCTTCATTATAAATAAGTAGACCTTGTTTTATTTTTTTATTGTGTTTTGTCAGAATGTTACAAATTTGATTTATTGCAGATCAGGTGAAAAAAAAACAGCTTGAATTAATATATTTCCAAAAGAGTTCCTTTTCTCTGGAAAATCAGCAGACTCAACCATCAGATTTCCAGATTGGTCACTCCAGAGAACGCATCTGTTCTATAGTCCAGTGGCGCTGTGGTTTACATCACTGCCTCCGATGCTTTGCACTTATGGAAGTTTGGCCTGGATGCAGCTGTTCCACCATAGAAACCCATTCAATGAGAGAGTATCTGAAGGCAGCATGAGGTGTGGAGGTGTGAAGTGATCTTTCATTCTTGTTTTATGATTAAATAACCAAAAGGCCAAAAGCTGCTCTCAGAAATCTTTATCTTTATGTGGATGTTGGTCTCTTACACAG